AAAGAGTGATCATTAAAATGCAGTACTCCATTTTTTTGTCTGTTGGTTGGTTTGTTTGTAGAATTGGTTTATTGGTTTGTTTTCTGTGGGTACACCAGTGTGCATGGGAATGAACGAGCTCGCAGTCATTTCATGGGATTGGCAAGTGCAAAAGTACTCACAGTTTTAGCATTTAAATTTTGTGAAGGATGATTGCACTGTTCAATATTAGCACTGTTTTGTTAATTTCATTTGTACTTTTGTATGTTTTGTATTTGGCAGGCTTTTCCAAATAATGCTACCAGAGTACAAAAAGATGTAAAATGAGGAAAGGAGTGGCTCAGTAAATAACTGAAGTCAGTATTGACTGAATATAATGTTACTTATGACACACAGTATTCAATCAGGTCTCTTTTAGAAGCAATTGATATTCTTGATAGCCTGTGCATAGTGTTGTCGAGAGAGTTAGAAAGATGTTAACATTTCATTACTCTTGCCATTGATTTTTTTCTGCTTTCCTCACAACAAAAGTCAAAACGTGACCTATTTTTCCACTGAATTAGTTCCAGAGCACTTGGCATTATTGACCTCCTAATGAAAATTAATGATGACTCTTTTGATTCAGTCTTTCAAGCAGGCACACCAAGCACATTTAAGAAACAGGTGCATTTATTTCTCATAATGAAATGAAATAACACCATGTTAAGTAATGAAATGTACGTTAATGTAATATTAAATTTGCAAATTTAAGCACACGGAATTCAAGAGATTTAAAATGCATTATCAGGAGCTGATGCTGCAAAGATTTAAGTTTGGCAATGGTTTCAGACCTGGAAAACCAATGAGTTATACAAGTAAAGCTATACATATGATTAGACCATTCAAGCCCTAGGCCCTAAATGTATTGTAAAAATCTGGCAAGTCAGACATGTTTTAATATGCGACAAAGTCAATTGCACATTAGCTTAGGTATTTCCATGCTTTTTTCTTTCTTTTTTTTTTTTTTTTTTTTTCCCTTTTAAAGCTAGAGAATAAATCAAATTATTTTCAGACACTTTTTCTTCTTTGCTCACAAGCTGTCATCCTACAGGCAAGTGGTTTTCTCTTTCATACAGAGCCTTAAAAAAAATGCTTAAGAACAAACTGACTTTAGTCTATCAGTATGAATCCCTTCTCTCTTTCATGTATGTAGATAAGGATTACCTCTACCAGGTGAAACAGGAAAGGTGGATGGATTAATAACTGGAGATTGGGTGAAGATTGATAACCTGGATGAAGGGATAGAGTGCACCCTCAGGAAGTTTGCAAATTATACTAAATTCAGTGGGAGTGTTGGTCTGCTTGAGAGCAGAGAAGCTCTTGGCCACTGGACCAAGGCCAATGGCATGAGTTTCAATAAGGCCAAATGTCAGGTCCTGCACTTTGGCCACACCAACCCCCAGCAGCACTACAGGCTTGAGGAGGAGTGGCTGGAGAGATGTCCTGTAGAAAGAGACGTAGGGGTGTTGATTGACAGCTGGCTGAACATGAGCCAGCAGTGTGCCCAGGTCGCCAAGAAGGCCAACAACATCCTGGCCTGCATCAGGAACAGCATGATCAGCAGGACCAGAGAGGTGATCCTGCCCCTCTACTCAGCCTTGGCGAGGCTGCACCTCGAGCACTGTGTGCAGTTTTGGGCACTGCAGTGTAAGAAGGACATTGAGGTGCTGGAGAGGGTGCAGGGAAGGGCAACTAGGCTGGAGAACAGGTCTTATGAGGAGAGGCTGAAGAATCTGGGGCTGTTCAGCCTGGAGAAGAGGAGGCTGAGGGGAAATCTCATTGCTCTCTACAACTACCTGAAAGGAGGTTGTAGTGAGGCATGTTGGCCTCCTCTCCCAGTGATAAAACAAGTAGAAATGTGGTCAAGCTGGGGGAATTGGATATTAGAAAAAAAAAATGTTCACAGAAAGATTGGTGAGGCATTGGAACAGGCTGCCCAGAGAGGTGTGGGAGGCATCGTCCCTGGAGATGTTCAAAAAAGGGGTAGACATCCGTGTTTCATGAGATTGTTTAGTGGTTAGGGGTTGTAGGGTGGATGGTTCGACTTGATAATCTTGAAGGTCTTTTCCAACGTTGACGATTTTATGATTGTATGAAAGCTTACCATTTTATCTAAACCTTTTCCTATTCCTGGGACATTCTCCCAGAAATAATTCCTGAGGAATTATCTAGGAAATCTGCGAGAAAAACGATTAAACTTACTTTCCTCTTCTTTTTCCTTAGACAACAAAGACTATGATGCATATCTGTCTTATACCAAAGTGGATCCTGACCAGTGGAATCAAGAAACTGGAGAAGAAGAAAGATTTGCTCTTGAGATCCTACCAGATATGCTTGAAAAACATTATGGGTACAAGTTGTTCATACCAGACAGAGATTTGATTCCCACAGGAAGTAAGTAATGTCTTTACACTTGTTTGTTTCCTAAGCAGCAAATGTAGTGATTGCCGTGATTGTTTTCATATCATTTCTATACATACTCCTTCAGAATGTGATCTTTCCTGTGTTGTCTTAGAGAGTGGTGAAGATAAGGCAACAAACATACTTAACGTGCATTTACTACACAGGAGGATTAATTTTTAGTAATTATTTTATATTGATTGAAGGGGAGACAGTGCAGAAAGGGCATGCATAAATAAAGGAAATGAATGAGACCATTTATTTTTTTTTTTTCACAGATTTTTTAAGAGCACACAGACCTAGAGGTCTGTTTTGTTTGGACTAGGGCAAGGATTGAGTGATACCATCTACAACAGAGCAAAGTAATGAATTATGTTAAGTGTCTGCTGCAGATAAATGTGTGGTGAAGGTATTAGATTATTCTCAGAAACTGAAAATTTGAATTGATTCCAGCTGGTGCAAGTAGATAATTTTCATGTTTCTTTCACATATTCCAATCTATGTACAGTAATTTTTTGTAAGTTGCTGTCATATTCTTTATAACATCAGTATAACCATATAGACAACTACTAGGATCAATGTCTTTTGATAAAAATAAGAAACAATGCTTTGTATAGGCAAAGCACAATATCAAACAATAGCATGGATATTTTTAAAACCAATGTCAAACAACGCATTAATTTGCAGGAGACAGAACCATTTTTGTGAATGTGTGTGGTAGTGACATGAAAATAAAAGAAGAATCAAACCTCACAGTACTCCTTTGAGTATCATTTGTGTTTGAGACTGAGCCCCTGAAGCACATAGTTGCTGCTCTGTTTCCTACCTGGGTGACTTTCCTCTTTACAGAAAAAGATGGTGATGGACACAGTTATTCTGACAAAGATATTGGTATAAAACCACAGCTCATAAACAAACACTCACAATCCATAGAGCATGGGGGGATAGAAGTTTTGCAGGATCACAGAATGTTTGCAGTTGGAAGGGACCTCTGGAGGTCATGTAGTCCAACCACCCTGCTCAAGCACGGCCACCTAGAGCAGGTTGCCCAGGAACATGTTCTGGCAAGCAAAGTTGGCACATTTGCAAGTGATGTTTTGCATATTTCAGTGAGGTTTTCTGGAAGTAGGTATTTGCCTCTGGTGTTTCTCCCTAGTCTATTGGAGCAGAGTGTTTCCTTAGATTGATTTTTGAACAATTGTCTTATTTTGTAGCCTACATTGAAGATGTGGCAAGATGTGTAGACCAAAGCAAGCGGCTGATCATCGTCATGACTCCAAATTATGTGGTAAGAAGAGGCTGGAGCATCTTTGAACTGGAAACGAGGCTTCGAAACATGTTGATCACAGGCGAAATCAAAGTGATACTGATTGAATGCAGTGAACTACGAGGAGTTATGAACTACCAGGAGGTTGAGGCCCTGAAACATACCATAAAGCTCCTCACTGTCATTAAATGGCACGGACCAAAATGCAACAAGTTGAATTCCAAGTTCTGGAAACGTTTACAGTACGAAATGCCTTTTAAGAGGATTGAACCCATCACAAATGAGCAGGTGTTAGATGTCAGTGAGCAGGGGCCCTTTGGGGAACTGCAGACCGTCTCTGCAATTTCCATGGCTGCTGCCACCTCCACTGCTCTTGCCACTGCCCATCCAGATTTGCGCTCCACCTTTCATAACACATATCATTCACAGATGCGCCAGAAACACTATTATCGAAGCTATGAATATGATGTACCTCCTACCGGCACCCTGCCCCTTACCTCAATAGGTAACCAGCACACCTACTGCAACATCCCCATGACACTTATAAATGGGCAGCGGCCACAGACAAAAACTAACAGGGAGCAGAATCCAGAAGAGGCTCACACAAACAGTACGATCCTGCCCCTCTTGCCTCGGGAGACCAGTATATCAAGTGTCATTTGGTGACCGAAATGCAAGGGGCCATCAACCCCCTTGAGTAGGAGCTGACTCTGCAGTCCGGTGCCTGGAACTACATCCTCGACTGCTGCTGTTAAACATGCATTACAATCGATAACATACGAGGAAAAACAGGGTCTTGTACATATGTTTTTTGCAATTTCTTTGTAGCATCAGTCTTCCTGTTCTACCCATGTCTCTTCCCATTCACATTTTTGACTTTGTTTTATATGTCACTGGAATTTGTATATTTACATTTTTTTAAATGAATAGACTGCTGTATAGATAGGAAACTTTTTTGCTTCATTAGTATAGTTTTAGACTTTTTGTTTGTTTGTTTTTAACCTCTCTTTGGAATGCTTGGACAAAGCTATGTTGATATCAGAAACACAATCCATTTTGTTAGCCTGCCTAGCCTGATTCCTGAAGGCCATGCCTGCTGCAGTTCATGTCTTTTGGAGAATATTTGTTCCTGGAAGGACTCCATCCCTC